TTAATAATCTACAGGCATCATAGCAAATTTAACATAGGTGCGGTTATGTATGAATGTCGGAATTCTTGGATATTCACAGATTGTTGTGGCAGCAAAGAGACATTTGTCGATAAGTATGTATTGCGAATGTAAACTATCAGGAGGAGACTCTTTTCAATAGAGAGTCTATACCAATTTGTTGTTAGTTCGCGAGATACCATTTTGGAGTCTAGTTATGGAAAAAGTTGCGAGAATGAAACCAGACAAAATTATACGATTTAATGAAATTTAACAAGAAGTCTTAGGAGCTACCTTAGCCATAACAATTCTACTAGCATCAATTCAACATGTAAGTGTGTTCTTTCCAATTCCTAGTGCAATAAGCATTCGTGACAACAGAGATAGTAGTATTTATCGTAGCTGCACTTAGCAATAGGAATCTCTTGTATGACAGACTAGAACGCCTCATTTCATACCCGGCTAAGGCATGGAGATTGTTTTTTGGAATTATTGGAAGAGTAGTGCTGGAATTGTTATACCTGGACTTACGACTCTGATCTCGGAGATAACGGTATCTTAACATCTCTGAAGAAAGCTATTGTACAAGACGATGTAAAGATAATCTTTTTCAATCACCAAATTAAACAACGGAAATTATTACTTATGAAGAAAGGTCTGTGGAAAATGGTGAGTGAAATCAAGCTAGAACAACCCAGTGAAGACTAGACGAAAATGGATGGACAGGCAAGAACGAAAAACGACGACCAATTGGTACATATTCGAAAGGTCAAAACTGCAAAAGAAACATGGCAAATGTTAAAGAATTATCACCGAAGAACGATGTTGTTAAATACGATATTTCTTTTAAAAAAATTATTCGATAAATGACACTCTGAAAAATGTGCTATATGTACCATAGTTGTTTGAAAACTTGTTGTCAGTTAAGAAAATAATAGAACGCTAATTTAAGAAATAATAGCAATGGCCAATTATACAAAGCACTTATATAAGCTGAAAACCGAACACGAGAAACGTGACAATACTGACGGTAGAGGACAGAATAATAATTCATGAATAACATATGAAACTCGAACACAGGGGCCTGACGCCATATGGAAACTAGTAAAGAAAAATATGGCAGAAGATCATAACCATAGAGAAATGCGAAGTTAAGGAAATATGCGAGATTTACATAAAAGGAAAAATGTACAGGAAACCGTTCCCTAAGGAATCAAACAGTCAAACGAAGAAAATTTTGAAACTGATTCATACGGACGTATATGGTCCTATGGAATCAATCACTCCAAGAGGTAAAAAATATTATACTCTTAATATATATAATTGACGACTATAGTAGATACACTCAGTTAAACCTAATGTGGAATAAATCGGAAGTAAGCCAAAATACAAAAGTATATGTGGAAGAGAGAAAAACAAGTTCAATAAAAAAACCTAAAATAATACGATCAAATCGCGGAAAAGAATACATAAATCATAAATTGTTAGATTATCTAAATAAGAAAGGAATCGAAAATGAATTCACAGCTCTGTACAGTCATCAGCAAAATGGCAAGGCAGAGAGGAAAAACAGATACCTCTTGGAGATGACAAGGTGCACGCTGACTGACGCAAGTTTGGACAAAAAATATTAGGGAGAGGCGGTTATAACAGCAAACTGCCTACAGGACTGCCTAATAGGCTGTCATATAGGAAGAGTCAAATCATGCGTTGTGAAGCATGGAACTGGAAGAAATCAGTATTACAGGACATTTACGCGCTATGATTAAAATCCTGACATAATTCCTGATAGAACTCAGACATTATATTTCGTTGGAGTAAATGAAAAATCTAAGGCGTTTCGATTTCTAAACATAAAAAACAGTACAAACAAGAAAACTGCTGAAGTAAAATGAGTTATTACAATATAATAATGCAGAATTAGAAACTGATAAAATAGCAAAAGAAGAAGAAAAAAGGGAAGAAGAACCAAAGGAACGAGGAATAGAGACAGGTGTCAAGTGAGACTAGTGAAACGACGTACGAAAGATCGGAGAGGAAAAATAACGGCGTGCAAGATTCACGGTCAGGAATTAAAGTCAATTGACGAAGCGTTTGTAAATAGGTTTTGAAGACAAAAAAGAATGAAAAAGGAAGGCTGATTTGTTACAAAGCCAGGTAATAGTAGATCTGGGTTAGATCTAGATTTTTGGTATTAATTATAATACTGTGAAGGTTTTACACCTGTCAAGTAACTTTGAGAACATTACTAATCATCGCTGGAAGAGACAAATTGTTACAAATAACCAAGACGAAATAATGAATATTGGAAAAGAATTGACAGAATTATACAATATTACGACGCGCTACATACATCAACAAAACACATTAAAAATATTATAAGCACATGTGAACTTGACAGTGAAAAGGAATCCGACATTCCGCTAGTTTCAGGATACGAAAATTTAACTGTAGCGATACCTCCTGCACTCGCCAGCAGAGGGATACGTTCAATCTGTACCTTTCTCACGAGCACTCGACAAATCCACCTATTCCTATACAGAGTGTTCGGCCACCCCTGGGAAAATTTTTAATGGGGGATTCTAGAGTCCAAAATAAGACGAAAATCAAGAATACCAATTTGTTTATGGAGGCTTCGTTAAAAAGTTATTAACGTTTAAAATTCCACCCGTACTGAATTGTTTTCTTGAAAATGCGCACGATTTCGGGGGTATGTCTATCCACCAAAAATGATTGTAATTGACCCCCGCAATCGAAAATAATTTTTCCAGAACGATTTGAAATTTTTTTTTCGTCATAAAATTTCACACCTTCTCGAATTTTTTTCTAGAAAGTGGGTAGGATTTCGGAGGTATATCTATTCACCAAAAATGATTGTAATTGACCCCCGCAACCGAAAATAATTTTTCCAGAACGATTTGAAATTTTTGAATTTAATTGTTAATAACTTTTTCACGAAGCCTCCATCAACAAATTAGTATTCCTGATTTTCGTCTTATTTTGGCCTCTAGAATCCCCCATTAAAATTTTTCCCAGGGGTGGCCGAACACCCTGTATATACACTCTTCGACCGACCTGATTGAATGTCCCGTCTAAGGTAAGGTCTCCTGGGATTACCTTACTGATGAGAGTTCTCCACTTGGATGTTGAGGACGAAACGGTCCCCTCTCCTTTTTCCTCTCTTTACTTTCCTCCTGCTATCTCGCTTACTCACTTTCTCTATACAGCAAGTCGCCACAGAACGACGAATCACGCTCGAAAGCAACAAGAATTTCAGAGAATAATTGGCAGTCTGTATTATACATTCCCACATCAAGATTGGATATATGTAAATGCATTTGGTAATGTTAAGCCGAAATAAACGATGAACAACCCGAGCAATACCGACTCATTGAAAGCCAGGGCAATAGTAAAGTATTTAAAGAAAACGATCGGATACAAATTGAAATTAGGAAGCAACGAAGAATAGACAAACAATCTAATGGGATACGTCATCACGAACTGGGCGGAATTGTGAACAAACAAAGTCTATAGCGACTACATTATGAAATACAGTAATAGTCCAATTAGTTAGACATGTAGGAAAGAAGAGTAATTTGTAGCCCCACATCAACACCGGAAGCAGAGTATATATCCTTGAGTGAACGTTATCAAGAGATTCTGTGAGTAACTAAATTGATGGAAGATCTCGAAGAGGAAATTAAATACCCAATCACCATACACGAAGCAATCAAAGCTGCATAAGACTAACGCAAAATCAGAAATTTAATAAAAGGACAAAACACATAGATAGAAAACTTCATTTTGTCCGGCACTTAGTGAAATGTAGTAAAATCGTTACTAATTATCGTCCAACGAAATTTATAATTGCAGATCTATTGACGAATTCTTTGCAGCAGACGAGACTAACGAAGTTGTCATAGGAATGAGAGCCGATGGACAACGCAGAAAATTGAGATTCCAACATGGAGAAGCGAGTTGTGGAAACCACAATACCGGCACTAATAATGTTGCCAATTGTGGAATAAAAAGTTGCTCAATTATCGATAACTGAAAAGATAATTAGTACAATCGATGGCCGTATTGACGAGTATTTCGTAATCAACACACAATTGAGACATTCATTTGCTGTATAGCCTTCGCAATAGCAACTCGATTCACTTAAAGAAACGGTATTTTACAATATATCTGAAAACTATCAAGTTTAACCAGGACGCAAATTTTCTTCTAATTAGTGCGGGTTTTTTTACCTTAATACTTATTTTTGTAACCTGACTACAATTCATTAATACAAATTTATTTTCTTTAACATTTCATTTGAGAATTAAATTTTTTAGTCCCATAATGAAAAGTATTGTCACCCATATATGGATATAGAAAATGAATCTGTAAATAAAAATATAAATTTTTATTTTCAAAAAACCAAAGTTGACCTTCGAATATCACAATACTTAAGAAATAAAAAAAGCATTGTAACTTTTTAAACGGACACCCTGTATAAGAACATATCTTATGCCGTTTTTCTACCCTTCCTGCTGACTACCATAAATTACAAACGTACTTTGTTTCCAAATTTGGTAATAGGAATCATGATTAAATTAGTTATGCCCTTCCAATTTCTGTTAAAAAAAGAATGGGCATTGAAATTTTAAAACGAATTTCAATTTCCTATTGAATTTCATACGTTTTTCTTTCGTATGAAGATTTATCGGGGCAATCAAAATAAATAGACCACATTGTCAACAAATAAATAAGATAATTCGTAAGATTTATCTATATTTTTTGTTCGTTAATGAAACAAACTTTGTAGGAACAATTCTGTAAATTGAATTGCCTATAATTTACATAAATACTACCCAGTATTAACAATCGAGGAGTAGGTTTATTTTTAAATTCGCCAATTAGCGTAACGTTGATATTGTGGTTCAAGATGCATTTTCAATTCTTCAAGTTCGTCGATTCCATCATCATTAAAATCATATAAATTGTTGTTATATTCTTCAGCGTATCTCCTTTCTTCCACTTCCGCATCTTCATTTCTATTTACCTCTTTCTTCACTTCCGTTTCTTCATCGTCCATATTTATTGTCTTACTTTGTGCTACAAAAACCATATCGATAATTTTGTACTGTATGTTTCCGTGTCTTCAACAATTTTTAATAACTATACGTTACATTTCTATTGTAAGTTATAACTAATATTCTAGCACAGTAAAGCAAAATTTTCATTTCTATTATAAGTTTTCTTTTTTCTCTTCTTTTTATGTATTATGAAAAAGATATTACAAATGCCAAAAATCATTAACAATGCTAGTTGAAAGCAAATTATATTTAAAACCCGAAAAAATATTACATTTTTATATATAACACTGTTATCTTATAGAGAACAATGGTATAAATATTGTTTAGATTATTATGGTAAAATTTTTTATTTTAATTTTGTCTACGTAATTAAATAGTATAATTGATCAAAAATTATGTTAAATTAGGTTTCAAGAAAATATACGTTAAAAAAAAATTTGCCGATAAAAATAATCCGTTTTTCTAATACAAATAAAAATACATTACTTTACTGTATTCGTACAGAAACATATTCATGACAAATACTTTGCGCAAGTAAACAAAAAACTAAGGAGAAAAACATAATGTAACTAAATGAAAAATAAACAAATGTTTGATAGAATTTATCTATATACATATAAATCTGTAAATACAAAAATATATATATTGTTTTCTTCTTTTTAACAGAATAAAAAAATATATTACTTTTTCGTGTTAAATGTTAAAATAAAGTATTACATGGACAAAGAGTGTTACAGTTTCTTATTAGAAAAGGACATTTATAAGAGAGTGATGAAAATTTAATAAGGTATTTCTTTTAGAGGAGAATTAATATGATTTCTTCATTAGTTAAACAAAAGTTATTATAATATTTGCAAGCGAGGCATAAGATAATGTTGAAATCAGCATAGCTAAGAAGTATTATTTCTGAAATAATAATTAAGTTTCATACAAAGTTATGTATACACGACTTTTGATTTATTATAGTACATAATTATGTTTATCCTCGATAGATGAAAATTATTTTTACAAAACAATACATATATCGTACTATTTTATAAAATCACATAACCACACAATGGATGACATTACTTCATTTTATTTATAGTTTAATCCTTAACAAATCCTTAATTCATCATGTATAGCAACGATGAATAAAACATAAAATCGATATATTACAATTATACAGAGTTTTGCATTTAGAATAATATTTTCTTTGTACGATCATATTATAATTTCTGTCATTTTAATAAAGTAAATGACGAAATCATAATATTGTTAAATCTTATAATAATATACGTTTTGATTCATATTCGATTAAGAATACAATTAATTGCATTCATTTTACAATTCCGTCGCGATATAGTAACTAATAACGCTGCATTGTTCAATATTAAAAAATTAATCTTACCTCACAAAAATCAATGAATTTTTAATTTTTAAAATATTCAACAGAACAAACTGCATAATTCGGTACAGAAAACTTTTAATATCTATTCCTAACGTTAATATTATTAGGGGTGCACGGGTACCCGACAATTCGGGCTCTGGTATTTTTATCGAGCTCGGATCGGAACATGAAAACGAATCGATTCAAGTTGGATACATGAAAATTTGTAACATTCAAATACCCGAATCTTATGTCAAGTATCGGCTGATTTTATAATCAGATTTTACGGATATGCAGATCGACTTGAGTACCTAAAACTTCCTAACATATAGGTACCCGAGTGCTATCTCCCTTGGCTTTGATTTCGAGTTCCCACTAAACATGATGCTTTGCTACTCGAATGTTACAAATTTTCATGTACTTCCACACTTTTAGTAAAATCCGATTGTAAAATCATCCTTCCCTTGATATAAGATTCGAGTACCCGAAAATTTCTGATTCTCAGGTATTTTAAGACGTTACAAATTGTCGAATACCTGAATTGTCCTGTCCCTTGTCACGCTGAATCCTCCCAAAGATTTCAGGTACCTGTACATCCCATATATATTACACAAACTTTCATATTTATAGTAAAAAAAAAAAAATTCACTGTCAGTTTTCATTAAAGCTCCGACAAAAAAGAGCAATTTTTCGCATTACTCCTTCTCACATTCATTGTTTAAATCAAATATCCAAAACAACGAAGATTACGTACGCTGGAATACTAGATCACGAATATAGATATCCCCCGTCTTTAAAAAATATGTGTATGTGTGTACGTGTGTATTTGCATATTAAATATATATATACATACACACACACACACACACACATATGCATATACAGGGTGTGGTGGGACGAGTAGTACAATCGGGCAGAGGGTGATTCTACATGCAAAGATAAAGGCCAGATTGACAAACAATTGTCCGCGAGTACTGTTCATGAATAAGCGACATATAGGGTTTTCGGCCACCCCTGGGAAAGATTTTAATGGGAGTTCTAGAGGCCAAAATAAGACGAAATTTAAGGATACTAATTTGTTGATTGAGGCTTCGTTAAAAAGTTATAGAAACATTTCCGGTCACACAGTATATTTTCGGTAAAGAATTTTTTTTCGAAAGTACGTAGGATTTCGGGGGTATGTTTATTCGCCAAAAATGATTGTAATTTACCTCTGCATCCAAAAATAATTTTTTTAGAACGATTTGAAATTTTTAAATTTTGTCGTAAAATTTCATACATTCTCGAATTTTTTCTCGAAAGTGAGTAGAATTTCGGGGATATGTCTATCCACCAAAAATGATTGTAATTTTTCCGTGAGTGATTTAAAATTTTTTAATTTAATTTTTTAATAACTTTTTAGCGAAGTCTCAATTCAGAAATTGATATTCTCAATTTTCGTCTTATTTTGCCCTTTAAAATCTCCCATTAAAACTTTTCCCAGGGGTGGCCGAACACCTTTTATATGCAATGGATAAAACCGAAATCTAGAAACTGTTTACGAACAAATAGTGATCTGCAGTTTGTTCTAGATCCGTCCAGATTGAGAGATAATTGTTCGCAGACCCTCTTTGGCAATTCCTAGTTAAATTGTTATCAAACAATCTGCGGACAGTTTGCAGACAGTTTGCGGACAATTATCCATCAGCCCAGACGTGCCTTAAGTTGAAAAAGAATGAACAACATTTTTTCATTTGAGCCTTCATTTTCGAGATAATTGAATTTGAAAATTTATCGGACACACGTGTGCAGACATCGACACTGGTATCGGTTGGACGTTCGATATACGATATTATTTTTCCTAAATAAACAAACGCGGGAATCAAAGTGAAAATCAAAGTGCAGGGATCAAGGCAAAATAAAGTTCTTGTGAAAAAGAACATATCATTATCATTATTATTCGAAACGTGTGACACGTCTGACCATTAGTTTCTTTTTCTATTTGCGTTCAAGTCTACATCGTACTTTATTGCACGCGTACTTTATAAATTTGCAATATACAATATTTCGGAAAACGAAGCCTCGAACTAATTTTCACATATAAGCTCGGCACCCTGCGCGAATACTCTCTGTACACATACAAAGAGTTCCATCGAAATATCTCCTCTATTTGTGCTGATACAAAAAAATATTTTGTATGTAGTTTAAATAGTATCAAGAGGTCTGCATGTTGCAAAAAAATCTTTTTTCCAAAGTCACTTTCTTTGGGATTTTTTCGAAATCATCAATGTTCTTTCTTTTGCATATAATTTTTCTGTTGCATCGCGTTGCAGAGTTAAAAATACGTTCAATTATATGCATTATATAACCTTAAAATGACTTCGAAAATTAAAATGCAACGAAAAATATTTCTCATTCGAGATCTTATTATTTTCAATAAATATCGACAAATTTACCAATTGATATAATTCTGTTTTATGGCAAAAGGGATTAAGGTTTACGACAAACATTCGAAAGTGTCGGACAGTTCCTTCTTTTACATTTTAGAAATTGTATTATTGCGGATAGGCACCATTTCGAACATTTATCTGTCATGACAATTCAAACAAAATTCGTAACAAATACTAATATATCCATGATGAAATTTCCTACAGATACCTAATTGTAGACATATTTATTTGCATTTACTGGTTCTTGGACATCGTCTTTGTCTTTAATAAATGTCATTTCAAATTGTGTCATTAAATTATACGTTTCACATACGGACAGATACCGCAAAATTGACCTTAACAGAGATTTTCAAACTCAAAAATTTTGTTTATTACATTGTATTCTACTCGTCGCAAGGATAAAAGGTCCTAAAAAAACCATGGGTTGCAACTCAACCGTTCCCGCGAAAAGGAAAAAATAATAATAATAAGTTTCAGCAATTTGTAAACTTAATTTATTCATATTTTAAGGTCAAATTTGACCATCAAAATCGAGTCTGCATTATCATTTCCATATTTACTGATGAATGTATAATATCCATCATTATTGTGACTGAACTGGCTATATTTACATTTAAAAATCAGATATCATATAAATAATGTTTCAGTCTATTATTGGTAATAGTTAATTAAGGTTCGATGTAGATACAAGAATGTACATGAAATCTTTCGTGCTACTGATGAAGCAACAGACGATTATAGACAAAACCAATTCAATAACAATGATGATAGATATTATACGTTCATCAGTAAATATGAAAATGATAGTCATATTTGACTCGACTTTGATAGTCATATTTGACTTGGTCAAAGTCAATTTTGCAGCATCTTTCATTACATCAATTTCCATCAACCTAAAGGTATAGAATCGATTCATGACATCCTGTACATATCTAAACGTGTTAAAAAAAAAATATCAATGGCCTTAAACAATCTGAAAAATGATCTTGAAAAACTATTGTTTGCAACGTATTGATATTTTCATACCATTTACATTGTACATAAAATATTTTCCGTATCATCACAGTTGGAGAAGATATTTAAGTGAAACACCCTGTACGCATAGGGTGAATCACGAGAAACAAGACCCCCAGATATTTTTACTAATTATCGTTATATTAAAAAAGTTCTGAAAACAAAGTTTCACTGTTTGAAATAATGTATATAATGATAGCAAAAAATTCATTAAAAGAATTTTTTTTACTCGATTTCAAGGTTATGCTTGAATGATTTTTAATGGAATCATATTTTCTATTATAGTGCAGTGTAGCTGGCATTCTAAATTGTGAATACAGTCGCAGCTATGGCACGTTTGATATTATTAGTAGTAATAAAAGGTTATTTCTAAGTGTCCACAAACACGATTATCAACAGATTATAAACACGTACATCTGTTACTGCTATGGAATTATCAAGACAATGTATCAGTGTTGTTGTATCTATGTTTAACCATGTCTTAATGAAAGGAAGAAAAGATGCATTTGATTGTCATTTATAGTCGCAAATTATTCGTACTTTAAACAAGCAGCTCCCTTGTACAGAGATCGATTCTTTAATCGTAGGTAACCATCTTTTAAAATGCAGAATGCGACAAAAATGTTAAGTCCGAAGCCTTACTATTTTGAATCTTTCATTTGATTCAAATAAAGTAATTTGCACAATAATACTTTCGTTAACTAAATTTAAATCTCTCAGTCCAAGATCATTTCAAGGTCATAGTATGATAAGTAAACGAATTTGTATTGACGTTGACTACAATGTACTATAATAAAAAATACATGAAATGAGGGATGACCTTGAAATTTTTTCCTACTATAATATGCATCTTTTCAAATAGTGAAACTTTGTTTTCAGAACATTTTAATACAATGGTAAATAACGGAAATATTTCAGAGTCCGATTTCTCGCGACTTGCCCCATGTATACAGGGTGTTCGGGCACCCCTGGGAAAAATTTTAATGGGAGATTCTAGAAGCCAAAATAAAACGAAAATTAAGAATACTAATTTGTTGATGGAGGCTTCGTTAAAAAGTTATTAACGTTTAAAGTTTCGCCCGTACTGAATTTTTTTCTAGAACGTGGGTAGGATTTCGGGGGCAGGTGTATTCACCAAAAATTATTGTAATTGACCCCCGTAACCAAAAATAATTTTTCTAGAACGATTAAAAAATTTTTTTATTTTGTCGAAAAATTTCACACCATCTAAAATTTTTTTCTCGAAAGTGGGTAGGATTTCGAGAATATGTCTATTCACCAAAAATGATCGTAATTGATCCCCATAACCGAAAATAATTTTTCCAAAACGATTTGAAATTTTTTTTTTTCGCCGAATTTAGGCACCTACTCGATTTTTCTTAAAAATTTGTTTCACGCTCCACAGAAAAGTTGTGTAATACTTTTTTGTAGGTACCCATGGGCTCTGCTTTAGAAAAAAATTTCAATGAGATACCTTTACTATTGTAGGAGTTATGGTCGTTTGAAAATTGGACCAGTATTAGGGGTTTTTTTTCACTTTACGGTGTCTTTGAACAACTTTTTCAATATTGTTAGAATTTTTACATATTCTCCACTAAAATACGCATTGCTTGCATTTTAAAAAATTAAAATCCTCCAATCCGTTCAGGAATTATGACATTTTAGATTCGCATGAAATTTTAAGGAAGCATTTCTGGCCTCACATTAGATTTTCAGTAAAGAATTTTTTTCTCGAAAGTGGGTAGGATTTCAGGGATACGTGTGTTCACCAAAAATGATTGTAATTGAGCCCCGCAAACCAAAAATAATTTTTTTAGAATAGTTCGAAATTTTTTAATTTAATTTTTTAATAACTTTTTAATGAAGCCTCAGCCAAGAAATTGATATTCTTGATTTTCGTCTTATTTTGCCCTCTAGAATCTCCTATTACAATTTTTCCCACGGGTGGCCGAACACCCTGTATATATATATTTTTGATAAAATATAAATTTCTAAGTTTCGTCAAATCCTCGTAGTAGTTATTTACTCACCTCGTCGCGTGAATAACCGTCGACGGCTCGGCAACGTTAGCGCTCTCGTCGGAAATAATATCGACCGTCGCATTATTTCTCGCGTTCGCCGCAACCTTCGAACACATCGACGTAGCCACCGCGCATTTAATTGTGTTCAGATACTTGTGGGTTATGTCGCTTATCGCGTCCGGATTCGTCAGCTTCACGCGTTGAACGATATTCGATCCGAATTTCCGGAACATGAATATATTGTCCATAGCATTACCGCGCGTGTCATTTTTCTTTGAAGGGTTTACACTTTTCTTCCAATTCCCAATTGAATATTTTTCGTCAGTTTCAGAATCATTGTTTTCTTTGTATTTTTGTATTTTATGAAATCCCATGCTTTCTTGACTGCTACGACTGGTAGAAATGCTTTTCCCTTCGATTCTAGAATCTTCGTTCCCTCTTTGAAGATTCTCTGGCCTTTGAATTACAAAATTCATGTCCGAGTTCGATACTCGAGATAAGTCATTAATCGAGGTCTCCAATTTAATAGCTTTGTTCGGACAACTACTGGAAATAATTTCTGACGCGTTGTCTTCTTCGTCGGAAATCCTGTTGACATAATCGTCTACATAAAATATAAGATCTCTGGGAATAGACTTATCGAAGTATGTCACGCAACAATAAGCTCTCGGTATAGAAACAATGTCTATTTTCTTGAATCTACTGAACAAATTCACCATCAGCAGGTAACCGATTTTCGTTTCTTTCGGATCACGCGACTCAAAATATCTGTCGTTCTTTGCGGCGAGCATTTTTAATACTTCTTGTATTCTTAATGGATTCGTAACGTCTTTATAAATAACCGAAGTATATAAATCTGTACAGGGATCGTCTGAATCAATATTAATATCCTCGTACATGAAACTCTTCTTCGACGATCCTGATCTACTATTTACAATAGTGCTTTGCCAACTTTTTCCTACTTTATCGCTACGCACGTTTGTGAAATCTTTCCTACGATTATTATTATTATTATAAATACTATGCGTTTTGGTAACTTTATTATTTGAACAATTTCTTCCTACGTTCATCTTCCACGTCACCGATTTATTATACACATTACAATCACACAATGGGAAATCGGTCTGCTTATTCTCTACGTTTAAAACAGAACCATTTTCGATATAATGCTTCGCGTTTAACTTTAATATTACTAAATTGTGCACATTCTCGATCCTATTTACAACGCGTGCGTCGTTTACATTCGTTACACCACGCATTATATTACAAAACAACGAGTTACTATCACTAGCAAAATTAATACTGTCCGTTAATCTTTTATCACACGTTTCTTTCGCCAGCATGGGATCTACTTCCTCCAGTGCTTCTTTCACGTCCTCGATGCTTGCTTTCAAAACAGACAAAGGTACAATAATGTTGCTCTCAGAGACGCCAGTTAATAAACCATTATTTAACATTTTCAAACTGTCGATTGCCATGTTCGAAACAACATAATTTTCAGGTAATAAAAATTTCGATCGCACTTCCTCTGGCACTAATCGATCACCTAAACTGATCACATTAACTTCTTTCTTTAGACGAACGTCTAAAAGTTCATTGTCATTGTTATTATCGATTCTTTCTGTACCAATTACATTATTTTTAAGTTCTTTTCTGAGCAAAAAATTTGAATACGAGGGAAAGATGCTCGTGAAACCTTTAAAATTAAATATCCGTGACACATTGAAAAACTTCAACTTACTGGTTTCTTGTATAGAAGCATTTCTGTTCTCGTTTAAGTAACAATGGAAGTTCGTCCCATCTTGAAATGTACTTTCAGAGTGGCCAATAGGAAAGAAACATTTCGGATGTTGGAATAGCGCGAGCAACTTGTCTAAATTCGGAGCCTCTTTCTGAGTGCAATCGTCGTCGGTGATTACAGATTCGTCGCTTACTATAATACAATTTGAAAGTTTTTCGTCTTTTCTATAGTTCGTACAATTATTCTCTGAGTTTTGCACGTCATGCTTTTCGTCAGTTACAGATTCGTCTAGTATAATACAACTGGAAACTTCCTCGCCTTTATTATAATTGGTACAATTGTTCTCTGAGCTTTGCACGTCGAGAAATTCTTCGTTTTTACAAGCAACAGACTGCACACTTTGTTTTAGAACTAATTTAGTGCTTATATGCCTCTTTTCCATTTCGTTTGGAATTAAGTAAGATATTTTGCTCGAAGTCTTCTGAAAATTTTTTATATCTTGATGATTATCCGTTTCTAATTTAGATTGTGCACTGTCGATTTGAAAATTTAAATCGTAAGAAATGTCATCGTTGGACGTAGGAACAACTGGTTTAAGAGAAGGTATAGTATTTGCTGATTCAACGACCGAAACGCGAAATCTAGATGACCCACTTGCAGAAGAAGCGAGACAGGTTGGTGATTCCAGGGATATAGTAATTGGGGAGGAATTTGTTGAACATAATGACGTTTCCGGAACACGGGATACTACAAAACGGCTTCGAGAGGGACTTGGAATCGGACTAACTATCGGCGAAGAAGCTGGACTAAGGGCCGGGGAACGTAGACGACCTCCATTTATACGTTTCGGTTCGAGCATCGATCCACCTGATGCGTTACTCTGTATTGTAATCATGGTCGGTATAGAACATGGTAGAGTTTGACAGGTGAGCGAGATCTTACGAGAATTCGTGCTACAGAGAATGCTATGACGTGAACTATCAAAACCTTCGATGTTTTCTTCCGTAGTACGACTCTGTTCGTTCTCCGAGCAACGAACTTCGATCTCGGCTACCAGCTGCGAGTACTGGTGCAACGTCTCCGCTAGATCCTCCTGTTTTCGGCATAAAAGAAACAAACAATATTACGCAAGGGTTAAATTTTCTTTTTTTGTCATTTTGTAGTATTTGCCAAGTGCAATCTCAAATTGTGAATTTTAATTGACAGAAATCATGTTCGGAGTTATTAATACTACAATACATCTGTATTTCGAATTATATCTTTGGTAAACCTTACGTTTAGGGGAGGCAGCTGCGATAACCTGACATATGTTGTCAAAATCACTCCCCTAAATGGCACTAAGAAGGTTTTAGCCGTCGCTCATTGTTTATTAAAAAGTTATTAATAAAAATGTATTATTAGTATTGCACTAGAATCTGCGTATAAGTATACTCAATGTGACCTTAACGTTCACACAGTTTATGAAGGTCATACTCTTGAGCATTCCCCAACAAATTATAGCTACCTCTAATTTTTTATTAAAAAGTTATTACGATATATAAATTACCTGAAACAAAAAACAAGAATATGGAATTTCGTTCCATGAGGCCTGCGGAGCACAAAATAAAACATCCCTCACGAGTTGAACAGTATCATATCAAATTCGTATTACTGGCTGGGCCCCACCCAGACCCCCCTGTAAACTACACTGACTAATACTGACACCCATTTTTAATAAAATATAATTTAATATAATCGTTTTATTTAAATAAATGTGTTATATAATATAATAAATATTATATGATTTTTGTATGCTAATAACTTTTTAATAAAAAAACAAGCGACGGCTATAACCTCTTGGATGTTACTCAGGAGACTGACCTTGACAACATATGTCAAGGTCAAGGTCATCAGAGCTGCCTCCCCTAAACGTAAGGTTTACAAATTTAGAAATTACACGGAAACAAAAATTCGTTTACGAATAGATTTAAAATTTGTATTTGTTATTTGCGAATATAATTTTTCCAACTCTGTAATGGAGTGTTGCATTCTAAAAATATGCTTTCAATTAGTGGGCATGCGTTTAGAGAGTTAGTAAAATATTCTAGCATAAGTAGTTCCACATTATGATTTGACTAAAAACATATTGAAGAATTTATTCGACATGTTATTCGAATAATATATCCCCAACTTTGTTTCCACTTGTTTAATGGTTGCACAGATGATTCATTCACAGTGAACGTGAGATGCTCATTAGTAGACTGGAAATTTTTATACAAAATTAATATACAAACTATATGCAAAATAATGAAATCAACTGTATGATATACATATACATATTTTCATTAATTGTTTATGGTAATTTGCATTACAATATATAACTATAATTTTCTCTATATCGTCAACAGTAAGTTGATGCCTTTCTCGCTCAAGATTAATCTATATGTATGCTAAAAATGCGTATATATAATTTTTATAATACTTTGCATCAATTAAGTGTAATTACAGAACACGATAATTATACATATGTGGTATCGGGAAATGCGAGGAACTTGAGCGGAGTAAGAACTATAGGTTAAAAGAGAAAGCGTTACAGGTCGAAAGGGACGGGAAAAAACCCCTGGGTCAGCGGGCCCAGTGACGCGTTCGAGGTCCTCTCGCGCAGGGGTGCGAAACGCAAGCATGACCATATTTGGTCATGTACGCGCCCGAAAGAAGCTTGAATGGTGGGGCGGAAAAGGTTTTAAAAAGGGATGTTTCGAGCGGAAAAAGGAGACTCACTTGACAAGACGTTGCCGTAACAAGTCGCTTTAAGTTCTCATTTCAAGTTGTCGTTTTAAGTTGTCGTTTTAAGTTGTCGTTCTAAGTTATATCAGTTTAAGCGTAGCTGTTATTCAAATAGTCTTAAAATTAGTTCCTAGTCACTTTTAATATTTAAACAAAGATCTTTTTGAACAAATACCCACACATATAATAAATAATTCAAAAACAAAAGTGGTATTCATCATATAAAATTCTATCTTTGTAAGATAACGTCTAATAAAACAATGTCCCATAAAAAAGTTTCGCCTTTTACATGTATGACTATAGCTTGTACCAGAATCAACCTAAACTTTTAATTTCTTTGTCTTTTTTTAGGTCCGCTAAATTAAAAAAAAAAAAAAAAAAACATGAAAAGATCGATAATAAAACTTCAAAATGTTACCATTTTTGTAATTATCAACTTTTTCTTTTGTTCTGCTACTAGCTATAGCCAAACTCGTACCAATTAAGAATTTTTCACGTGTTTTCATTTCAAACAAACAAAATGGCCGGAATCATGGACACCGTGAGACGACCTTTTTTTTAAAACGACTACATTTAAGAGTTTGTCAGCAGTTTTAACTTTCTTTTGTCCAAACAATTTTAAAATGTCACTAAAACGTGTATAAAGAAATCTTGTAAATTTGGCTGTAAAAGGTGTTTAACAGTAGTTTATTTGCAAAAATACCTCATGAAAGCTTAGAAAACGCACTTCACATTAGAATACCTCCTTAATTGTTATTTTCGATATAACTTCGAGACGAGTTTGGATTTTGCTTTCATCTTTTGGCGAACGTAGAAGAGGATGGCGAATGAAGAAGAAAGATGATCGAAAGTGAAATGATTTAAAAAACATATCGGTGAGACAGCGCTAATACAAAAATGGAACTTCTTTATTTTTGTTTCTTTTTTAAATGAACGTTTTACCAACATATTTGTGAAGTTTTTCTGATTAAAATAAGATCAAACACGATACAATTTGTATCATATTTATGTATTAGTGAGTGACAATTACAACTCTTATTGTCTGAGTATTCGAATCCCCGAAATACTCATCGTAATTCGAATTTGGATCTAAAATCCAAATCTGAGAATCTGTACATCTGTAGTCGAATCTAGATCCTTCTTTTCGATGTCTCGAATATGGGACTCCTTTTAAATGGATACCAAATAAAAATAATGAGCAAGACGAAGATTAAAGAACGCAAAATTAGTATTTTTAAGTATATTTTATTAAGTTACTGAGATAAGTATAAATTCGTATTCTGATACAAGATAACTATATAATTTACATTTTCGGATAACAAACACGATTTTTTCGCAATTACAATATTTCCTACGGTTAAAAAAACTCTTTCCGCACTTGCAGAATATACCGGAATACATAAATATCTTTGTGCTATCTGTAAAACTTTTGGGAACTTATTTTTTGCGGTTCCCACCAACTTATATGATCGAGTTCATGATGAATTTGTGGTTCTGCTAAATACATATCAAATTCACTAATTAATGTTGAATATATTAAATCTAATGTCAATTCCTTGGAATTGTGTGTATTTTGGGTATTACCATCTGACATATCACGTAATGTTTTTTATTTTTTCTCAAATTCCATATTTTTGTATCGAGGATCTAGAAATCATGCAAGATAACAAGCATTTACATTGCTTGTATGAGAATTCCACTCCAATCGGAATCGCGATGATAAGTCTACAGCAATTGTAGTTTTAAAAGCTGTTATGGCATAACAATCATTTTAAGTGAGGCACTTAAAACCGGCCATCTGAATAACTTGGCTGCTATTGATGGTAGGAAAAAATGCGTCAGGCCAAAATTATTTGGTATCGAGAGACTCATCATCCGATGTTACTAGCTTTTTGATACGTGGAGGCATCAAGTAAATATGAAGATCATCTCCGGTTTTTAAATGGAACGGTGTTTCGGCTGCGAAGTATCATGCCCACTTGCTATACTGCGCAGACCGTGCTTATCACACAGCTCCTTGCTGTGTTCCCTTTTGGTAGGCTCTGTACCGGATATGCACGCGGACTTTATTGTGAGAAATTGTAAGTTTCTGAAGTCGCGAACCCGGCTTGCTCGTCTAACAAATTAATGCCATTGGAGCAGGTTACGTATAGATAATGCACTGAGAACGGTTTTGTGTGTTCTTTTATTTTGTATGTTTCGGTTGACTTTGCACAGAAGAAGTGACATTTTTTGGCGATGTTCATGGTTTACATAAGCTCGGATCTGTTTCTATTGGTGGAAAATGTTGTGGATGGGGGTGTACGAATTTTGTAACTATTTCTGACTGTGAGGGGAAGTGTACGGCGTAGGAACTTTCCGTACAGGGAAAGTTCCTGAGGTCCCTGGGATTGAAAACAATGAGTGCAGAAAAAAAAGGAGCAGTAAAGTGGCTGATGTCAGCTCACGTGCTCGGCAAATGTTGCCCTCTTAGGGTTTTTGATTTTGAATGACTTTGGTGACAATGGATCGGTCGGGGACTCGAACGTCGGTCCGACCGTTGCCGTTGCCGATGACCGAAGGCACGCTATCCGTAGCCATAAACCGCGGGGACAAGGTCGGGGGGGGCCCGGACGCACGCCTGAACAGGCTCGAAGGAGAAAACTGGTGTTTGGGGGAAAAAACCAATACCCTAGCCCGTTGCTTCAAGGAAGAGTCCGATGCTCCTTTTAGTTACACAAGAATATTTCAAGACTTGTGGAGAGTCGAGTCGAGGGTGTAAGGCTCGATCAAACGAATCTAATTCCTAAACCTAATGCTACCCTTAACCTAACTTCGGCTCATTGGTCAAGCCAATCCTCCAAATCGTCACCTTGGTAGGGCATTTCTTGCCTTTTGCAACATTCCCGCCCACCCTGCTGTCCAGTGTCCAGGTACACCATGCAAGGGTGAGTGAGAACGTTGCCTCTTTTTAAATAAATAATCTTTAGGGAAAGCTAAAGACTCCCAGGACCCCGGTGGTCTGCAGCTGTGCGCTACCGCGGGTTTACGATACGTCGATCGCTATTGAGACAAGGAAGAGCTCCAAGGATTCCAAGTCTCGTGTGGAGTTTGGAGGTTCCTCAACCCCTTAACCTACAACTACGTGTGAGACACGTAGTCTTCTATTCGGGCCAAAACTGATTATCACGGGCCTGACTCATAGTACATCGGTCGGGTCAAATGTAAGTATTACGGGCATGGCCCGTGGTACAACGATTGCGGTTTATAATCTGCCCCACCACAAACAGCACAGACCAGGCTCGTGATAGATTCTTATTATCTCTTTGTATGATAATCAGTTACATG